TGTGTGCCGTGAGTGGTAGATGTGTGTGTCGTGAGTGGTAGATGTGTGCCGTGAGGCACACATCTACCACTTCTTCTTCTTCAAGCTACTCTTCAACGACCAGTGATCAGACGCATCCACGACCACCAGACCTTCCCGAGACCCCACATACTGAGCGGACTGACACAATACCCACAAGAGTGGACCTTCTCTGACCCGATTTATACAATATATATATATATATATATTGTATATATATATATTTTTGATTTTATGTATGTATTTTAATTGCTTTTATATATATATATATATATATATATATATATATATATATATATATATATATATATATATATATATATCTGAAAACTCACACCCCAGAAGTGACTCGAACCCATACTCCCAGAAGCAACGCATCTGGTATGTACAAGACGCCTTAATCCACTTGACCATCACGACCGGACAAAATGAGGTGATAGCCGAGGCTATTTGAACCACCCCACCGCCGGCACTCGGATAGTTATCTTGGGCATAGCATTTTACCAAATCACCTCATTCTTTGGGGCAACACGTGAGGAACACAAATGCGAACAAGCCTGAATGGTCCCCAGGACATATGCAACTGAAAACTCACACCCCAGAAGTGACTCGAACCCATACTCCCAGAAGCAACGCATCTGGTATGTACAAGACGCCTTAATCCACTTGACCATCACGACCGGACAAAATGAGGTGATAGCCGAGGCTATTTGAACCACCCCACCGCCGGCACTCGGATAGTTATCTTGGGCATAGCATTTTACCAAATCACCTCATTCTTTGGGGCAACACGTGAGGAACACAAATGCGAACAAGCCTGAATGGTCCCCAGGACATATGCAACTGAAAACTCACACCCCAGAAGTGACTCGAACCCATACTCCCAGAAGCAACGCATCTGGTATGTACAAGACGCCTTAATCCACTTGACCATCACGACCGGACAAAATGAGGTGATAGCCGAGGCTATTTGAACCACCCCACCGCCGGCACTCGGATAGTTATCTTGGGCATAGCATTTTACCAAATCACCTCATTCTTTGGGGCAACACGTGAGGAACACAAATGCGAACAAGCCTGAATGGTCCCCAGGACATATGCAACTGAAAACTCACACCCCAGAAGTGACTCGAACCCATACTCCCAGAAGCAACGCATCTGGTATGTACAAGACGCCTTAATCCACTTGACCATCACGACCGGACAAAATGAGGTGATAGCCGAGGCTATTTGAACCACCCCACCGCCGGCACTCGGATAGTTATCTTGGGCATAGCATTTTACCAAATCACCTCATTCTTTGGGGCAACACGTGAGGAACACAAATGCGAACAAGCCTGAATGGTCCCCAGGACATATGCAACTGAAAACTCACACCCCAGAAGTGACTCGAACCCATACTCCCAGAAGCAACGCATCTGGTATGTACAAGACGCCTTAATCCACTTGACCATCACGACCGGACAAAATGAGGTGATAGCCGAGGCTATTTGAACCACCCCACCGCCGGCACTCGGATAGTTATCTTGGGCATAGCATTTTACCAAATCACCTCATTCTTTGGGGCAACACGTGAGGAACACAAATGCGAACAAGCCTGAATGGTCCCCAGGACATATGCAACTGAAAACTCACACCCCAGAAGTGACTCGAACCCATACTCCCAGAAGCAACGCATCTGGTATGTACAAGACGCCTTAATCCACTTGACCATCACGACCGGACAAAATGAGGTGATAGCCGAGGCTATTTGAACCACCCCACCGCCGGCACTCGGATAGTTATCTTGGGCATAGCATTTTACCAAATCACCTCATTCTTTGGGGCAACACGTGAGGAACACAAATGCGAACAAGCCTGAATGGTCCCCAGGACATATGCAACTGAAAACTCACACCCCAGAAGTGACTCGAACCCATACTCCCAGAAGCAACGCATCTGGTATGTACAAGACGCCTTAATCCACTTGACCATCACGACCGGACAAAATGAGGTGATAGCCGAGGCTATTTGAACCACCCCACCGCCGGCACTCGGATAGTTATCCGAGTGTATGGGTTCGAGTCACTTCTGGGGTGTGAGTTTTCAGTTGCATATGTCCTGGGGACCATTCAGGCTTGTTCGCATTTGTGTTCCTCACGTGTTGCCCCAAAGAATGAGGTGATTTGGTAAAATGCTATGCCCAAGATAACTATCCGAGTGCCGGCGGTGGGGTGGTTCAAATAGCCTCGGCTATCACCTCATTTTGTCCGGTCGTGATGGTCAAGTGGATTAAGGCGTCTTGTACATACCAGATGCGTTGCTTCTGGGAGTATGGGTTCGAGTCACTTCTGGGGTGTGAGTTTTCAGTTGCATATGTCCTGGGGACCATTCAGGCTTGTTCGCATTTGTGTTCCTCACGTGTTGCCCCAAAGAATGAGGTGATTTGGTAAAATGCTATGCCCAAGATAACTATCCGAGTGCCGGCGGTGGGGTGGTTCAAATAGCCTCGGCTATCACCTCATTTTGTCCGGTCGTGATGGTCAAGTGGATTAAGGCGTCTTGTACATACCAGATGCGTTGCTTCTGGGAGTATGGGTTCGAGTCACTTCTGGGGTGTGAGTTTTCAGTTGCATATGTCCTGGGGACCATTCAGGCTTGTTCGCATTTGTGTTCCTCACGTGTTGCCCCAAAGAATGAGGTGATTTGGTAAAATGCTATGCCCAAGATAACTATCCGAGTGCCGGCGGTGGGGTGGTTCAAATAGCCTCGGCTATCACCTCATTTTGTCCGGTCGTGATGGTCAAGTGGATTAAGGCGTCTTGTACATACCAGATGCGTTGCTTCTGGGAGTATGGGTTCGAGTCACTTCTGGGGTGTGAGTTTTCAGTTGCATATGTCCTGGGGACCATTCAGGCTTGTTCGCATTTGTGTTCCTCACGTGTTGCCCCAAAGAATGAGGTGATTTGGTAAAATGCTATGCCCAAGATAACTATCCGAGTGCCGGCGGTGGGGTGGTTCAAATAGCCTCGGCTATCACCTCATTTTGTCCGGTCGTGATGGTCAAGTGGATTAAGGCGTCTTGTACATACCAGATGCGTTGCTTCTGGGAGTATGGGTTCGAGTCACTTCTGGGGTGTGAGTTTTCAGTTGCATATGTCCTGGGGACCATTCAGGCTTGTTCGCATTTGTGTTCCTCACGTGTTGCCCCAAAGAATGAGGTGATTTGGTAAAATGCTATGCCCAAGATAACTATCCGAGTGCCGGCGGTGGGGTGGTTCAAATAGCCTCGGCTATCACCTCATTTTGTCCGGTCGTGATGGTCAAGTGGATTAAGGCGTCTTGTACATACCAGATGCGTTGCTTCTGGGAGTATGGGTTCGAGTCACTTCTGGGGTGTGAGTTTTCAGTTGCATATGTCCTGGGGACCATTCAGGCTTGTTCGCATATATATATATATATATTGTATAAATCGGGTCAGAGAAGGTCCACTCTTGTGGGTATTGTGTCAGTCCGCTCAGTATGTGGGGTATATATATATATATATATATATATATATATATATATATATATATATATATATATATATATATATATATATGCAATTGGCGATCACGAAACAGTGATTATTGGTATGCGGAAAATCCACAGAGAAATGGAAAAGGGAGATGAACGTTTCGGCCAATTAAAGCCGTTGTTAACACCGGCTTTCCCATTTCTCTGTAGATTTTTCGATACAAAACGAAAAAAAAAAACATTTTTTGTGTTGCAAACAGTGCAACATTGACGTTGGTGTGATGAGCCTCTTGAAGCCACCACCACCGCCGCCTCCTAGAAATCCGAACACCAACTAAGACACCCACACCAGCCAACCCAACCGACGCACTCACAACCTTCCTCAACCCACACCCACCCAAACCCACACACCTCAGGCCAACCCGAGAGGGACAAGCCACCAAACTTTTCATCCCCCCTCTCACTCACAAACCCCATCCTCTTCCAGAATTGTAAATCCCCCCATCCCTCCTCTCCCCCATCCTTTTCGAAGCCCTCTGGACATCGATCCATCCCCCCAAACCTTTTTACACTATAATGCGTTATAAGAGCTTGGCCACAACAGTCTCCAAGCTAAGCAATTTACATTTGAGGCGAACCAGTTGCTTGTAATTTGATTGACTTATCATGCACTCGAACCCGAGCCAAGGACGGAGGTGGGAAGGTTACCGTGGCATGCTTGCACTACGGTAAGTGAACCTGGGGTATTTGGCTATGATTTCTGGTAGTGCATCATCACACCACAACCCAGATAGTGACAGAATGCTTACACGGAGACGTCAGTCCCCGCCACATACCCATAGGAAGAGTAACAGGATACCATCCCACAGTGCTACAATAACAGGATATCATCCCACAGTGCTACAATAACAGGATACCATCCCACAGTGCTACAATAACAGGATACCATCCCACAGTGCTACAATAACAGGATACCATCCCACAGTGCTACAGTAACATGATACCATCCCACAGTGCTACAGTGACATGATACTAATTCAAAGTCCGACAAATATAGGAAACCATTTCAGAGTCTTATAACCGATGAATTAGTATAAAATTCTCTCCTCTTTCTTACCAATAACTCCAAAGATCATATATATATATATATATATATATATATATATATATATATATATATATATATATAGGACCCCCAAAATAAGATTATAAAGACCTCGCCTCTTTCCATTAAGAGAAAATTCTGTTAACGGAACCAAAAAATCGTGTTACAGATGATTATAGAGGAAACCAAGTTAACACCATCTTGTAAAACAAAAGTTTGAAACATCCTACGTCCTTTCCCAGAATGTTCTGGACCATCCTACAGGTATTTCTTGGATGTTGTTATTTACCACTCAACATGGGGTGGAAACCGGTTGCAGGACGTGTTGTCAACAGGTTATGAGAGCGAGTCAGGACATTACAGGTGTGTGAGAGAGACTTACCTTGAACGCGGGCGGCGGCGGGGAGGCTGGCAGCAACAGGTGTGTGAGCGAGGGGGAGAGAGAGGGAGTGGTCACCCCTTTCCCGTCAACAGGTGCCTCCCTTTGCCTCTTTCTCGCCCCCTTTTCCTCTCTAGCGAGGAAAGGAGATCTTGGGAGGCGGGGAGGAGATGTTTGGAGGGTGTGTGGGGGGATGAGGTAGTGGGGACTCGGTAAGATTGGTAATTGTGGGTAGTGTTGGTAGGTGTGTGGTGGTGGGGGAGATGTGGGCGTGGTGAGGGCCTCCAGAGGGCCACCTGAGTGTGAGTGTGTGAGTGTCCACGACGGTCACCTCACTGGGAGCCTCTGAGCCCCACCGACGCTCTCACTCCTCTTTATACCCTCTCTCTCCCTCTTCATCGATCTGCCTCTCCTCCTCCTCCTCCCTCTCCCTCGCCTCCATCACCCCCTCTACCCCCTCTCTCTCTCTCTCTGTCTCTCTCCCTCACTCTCTCTCTCCCTCCCTCTCCCGAAGCCCACGCACACTCTCCCTCTCACCAACAACCAACACCTTGCAGGATATTCCTCCCTCATTTGCTGTCTAGGTCCATCATTCCCTCCTTCCCTTCTCCCTCATTCGCTTCGTCCCTTATCCCTCAGTATCTTACTCCCTCTCTCTCCCCTCCCACTCCGGCTGGGTGAGTGGGGTGAGGGAGAGTGAGTGTAGTCATTGTACGCAAGTGCGGTGAGCACGAGTTGAGAGTGAGACTGAGACGAGAACGTGAGGTGAGAGTGAGATAGTGGAGTGAGAGTGCGAGTGAGGTGACAGAGTGCAAGATTGAGGTGAGAGAAGTCAGTCAGACGGCACCCGCAGCTTGCACTCTAAGAGTTGACGGTGCTTGTGTTATTAGGAGCAGACGGAAGAGGCGAGAGAGACGTGTAGAAAGGGGAGATGAGAGACGGTAAAGGGGGAGGCGCCAGAGTAGAGAATGGAAGAGGAGACGGGAAAGGCGACGTATGTTAAACCTGTCCACGCCATCTCTCTCTCTCTCTCGTCTCTCCCACTACTTCCTCCCGAGTGCCTTCAACTACCTCCCCATTCAATTCCCCAAGTGCCTCACGCCCTCTCTCTCCCCTTGAGTGCCTCACCCCTTTATGAACCATTCCTCTCCCTTCTGGCTCCCTTCCATTGCACCTAAAACTTTATCTTCCCATTCATTCTCAGCCCCAGATATCAAATGAACCTCTAACCGCCCACACGAACTAATCCCATTACATAAGACCCTTTCCTTCAACGTGATCCCTTTCCCATACCACCTGAACCCTTCCATATCACCTGAACCCTTCCATATCACCTGAACCCTTTCCTACCACCTGAACCCTTACTCTACCACCTGAACCCTTCTACCACCTGAACCCTTCGTCTACCATCTGAACCCTTCGTCTACCACCTAAACCCTTCGTCTACCACCTGAACCCTTCGTCTACCACCTGAACCCTTCGTCTACCACCTGAACCCTTCGTCTACCATCTGAACCCTTCGTCTACCACCTAAACCCTTCGTCTACCACCTGAACCCTTCGTCTACCACCTGAACCCTTCGTCTACCACCTGAACCCTTCGTCTACCACCTGAACCCTTCGTCTACCACCTGAACCCTTCGTCTACCACCTGAACCCTTCGTCTACCACCTGAACCCTTCGTCTACCACCTGAACCCTTCTCTAAAATCCGTCGAGTATTTTCAAAGAAACTCGTTTGATGCGCTAAATGAGAATAAATGGACGCGAATATTGGCGCTTCTCTGATCGTGTCTCGCTTTTAACGCCCGCACGCCCACACGCTCGCACACCCACACGCCCACACGTGTGACTGAGGTGGTGACTATAAACTTTTTAACCCAGCATGTCAGAGAACCCACAAGAATGAGAGGCAATGACCTATCAGCGAGACTCGACCTAGTCTTCACTCTGAACGACTCTGACATAAAAGAAATCGGTTTTGAGGCCCCAGTAGGAATGAGCGACCACTGTGTACTGGCGTTTGAGTACCTGATTGAAGAAGGGTTAGTGAGCTCGAGGAGGGATACTGAAAACAAAAGGCTGGCATTCCGAAAGGGAAACTATGAGGAGATAAGAAAATTTCTAACAGATATAGCATGGGAAACAGAGCTCAGGGGAAAGACGGCCCAAAATATGATGGACTACATCACGCAGAAGTACAAGGAAGCAGCAAACAAGTTTGTCGCAGCCCAAAAGGAAAACAGTGAAATGAAGATGAGAAACCCATGGTTTAATCAGAGATGTAGGCTAGCTAAGCAGCAAAGTAAAAGGGCATGGAGAAACTATAGGAATAACAGGACACTGGAGAGCATAGAAAGATACCAGAATGCCAGGAATGAATATGTCAGGATGAGAAGAGAGGCAGAAAGACAATACGAAAATGGCATCGCAAGCAAGGCAAAGACTCAGCCTAAATTGCTGCATAGCCACATCAGGAGAAAAACAACAGTAAAGGAACAGGTTATGAAATTAAGGATAGGGGCGGAAGGATTCACTACAAATGACAAGGAAGTGTGTAAGGATCTGAATAAGAAATTCCAGGAGGTCTTCACCCTAGAGCAAGGAGAAATTCCAGAGACCAAAGAGCCAGAGCTCAACCCCTGCAAGCACAACTAGGTGAGTACACACACACACACACACACACACACACACACACACACACACACACACACATCATACTGGCCACAAAAATCGGTCAGTAAGCCAGACAAAAACTGTGGGACACGCTCGTGTGATGGCCGCCCGGCTCATTATGGCTTGTGGAACACGGCTCCTGCTTGTGTTGACAGCCTGGTGTGGGGGAGGCCAGCTCCGGGCGCTCATGTACGCTGCCTCCCTGGAAAACTATAGTCACTCACTCCAGGACGATGTGGTGCGCGGTGCTCAGCGATGTGGTGCGCGGTGCTCCACTGGTAAACCACTGCACCAATTATCACAGGTTGGTGAATGTGTTAAACCCGAGAATTACGGATGAAAATTTCAATAGTTCACTGCTTGTCCACGATCACTCTTTCACATTACTTTCTAATGCATTCCACTTATTAACTACTCTGACACTAAAAAAAAATTATTTCCATTGTCTTTATGGCTCATTAGAGCACTCAATATCCATCTGTGTCCCCTAGTGCGTGTGTCCCTGGTGTTAAATAAACTGGCTTTGCAGGCGAGGAGTCACAATAACGTGGCTGAAGTATGTTGACCAGACCACACACTAGAAGGTGAAGGGACGACGACGTTTCGGTCCGTCCTGGACCATTCAACCATTCAATCGACTTGAGAATGGTCCAGGACGGACCGAAACGTCGTCGTCCCTTCAATTTCTAGTGTGTGGTCTGGTCAACAAATTGGCTTTGTCTGCCCTATCAATTCTGCAGCCCCAGCAGGGAGTCCATATCTAGTCAAGGATAAGACTAAACTGGAAAAGGTTCAAAGGTTTGCCACCAAACTAGTACCCGAGCTGAGAGGTATGAGCTACGAGGAGAGACTACGGGAATTAAACCTCACTTCGCTGGAAGACAGAAGAGTTAAGGGGGACATGATCACCACATTCAAGATTCTGAAGGGAATTGATAAGATAGATAAAGACAGGCTATTTAACACAAGGGGCACACGCACTAGGGGACACAGGTGGAAACTGAGTGCCCAAATGAGCCACAGAGATATTAGAAAGAACTTTTATAGTGTCAGAGTGGTTGACAAATGGAATGCATTAGACAGTAATGTGGTGGAGGCTGACTCCATACACAGTTTCAAGAGTAGATATGATAGACCCCAATAGGCTCAGGAACCTGTACACCTATTGATTGACGGTTGAGAGGCGGGACCAAAGAGCTAAAGCTCAACCCCCGCAAACACAACTAGGTGAGTACACACACACACACACACACACACACACACACACACACACACACACACACACACACACACACACACACACACACACCAAAATGTGTTGATTCACTTTTCTTTGTCCCAAAATATCCGCTGGAAATCGGACCAGACCGCCTACACCCGCGTCTCACCTGATTGTGTTTCCTTACCTCCTTTGTGTGTTTGTCTGTGTGCCAGCGTGCACGTGTGTGTGTGTGCCAGCGTGTGTGTGTGTGTGCCAGCGTGTGCGTGTGTGTGCCAGCGTGTGCGTGTGTGCATGCGTCTAAATATGTGTCTATATTTTTAAATGTATATATGTATGTGTGTGTGTGTGTGTGTGTGTGTGTGTGTGTGTGTGTGTGTGTGTGTGTGTGTGTGTGTGTGTGTGTGTGTGGTGTGTGTGTGTGTGGTGTGTGTGTGTGTGTGTGTGTGTGTGTGTGTGTGTGTGTGTGTGTGTGTGTGTGTGTGTGTGTGTGTGTGTGTGTGTGTGTGTGTGTGTGTGTGTGTGTGTGTGTGTGTGTGTGTGTGTGTGTGTGTATGTGTGAGCCTCTATATATAAAGTTAAAAGAATTACCGATAAACTCAGAGTTTTATGCCCATTTCTTAAAGCGTAATTCCCACACACATACACCCTTTTATTACCTTTTTATTTCCCCCTTTTTCCTAAAAATTTAATATATAATAAAATTTAATGAGAAATTTGATATTTCCCATTAAATTTAATATTTAATGTCTGCCTCCCGCCCAATATACTCTATACAGTTTGAAGACGTTTAAACTCTCATATCCCTTTATAAGGTCATTGTAATCCGAGTATTGTAATCTCGGTTATCCTGTGTCATACAGTATCTTACAGTATGCGCGTGTGTGCATACACGCACATACTCAACTGACCGCTGCGTACACATAGACACAATCACATCGGCGGCATATGCGAAGCTGGTTAATATATAAGTTGCTATCTGGAATTTGGAAAGGGAGACCCCAGAGTACTGTACACCGTGTGAGACCATGTAAGCCTATCTGTAAGGGTGCCAATTTTGGAGGAAATTGGTTGATGTCAACCTCAGCCACAGATGGCAGCACCTTAGACTTTATTATTTAATGATTTATTTTTCAAGTAACATAAACGGAGTTGTTACTCTTTCATTTTTATTCAATTTATATGAAACTTCCACCTTATATGTAAAGTTTATGTCTCTAAAATCTGATTTTTTCGTTTTTTCGAAAAAACGGCGTTTTTTCCAAGTTCATTTATTGATTTAATAATAGCAATAAACATGATATATTTGCATATTTTTTTTTAGGGAGGAACTTTGACTATTTGTATTAGTAAAACTAAACATATTTTGGACAATCCGCGGCATAAGATCCTTAATTATATGTTAATGTGGCAGAAAAGTGTCATAGAATGATTATATCTGAAACGGGTGGTTGTAGTAACTTACTAA